GTGGGAAGGCGGAACGGAACGGGACAGCAGCCTCTAACGCAGGCGCAAGAATCCGTCCCCGTGCTGGGTCGTCCTGGGGGAATGGGAGGAGCGGGCTCCCTTCGGAGGATAATAAACTCTGGAATGAGGGTGTGGGCTCCTGCCTCTCGCTCCCCCCCTCATTCCAGTTGCATGATGACACCACCTCCTACCATCTCGCTGGCCTCTTTGCTTCTTTCTTTTTTTTTTTTCCTTTTTTCCCCAAAATCGCATTTTGAAGACAACCAAAAGTAGAACGTGTTCTGGGTGTGGCTGCGTCTGATTTACCCAATAGCCAAAGTGGGGGGGGACCACTGAAGGGGAAAGACGGCTCGTCCGAAGGGAGCGGAGACGGAGGGCTGCAGTAAGTGATGGGGACCCTGTCTATTCTCCCAGTGCTCCTCAGGGTAATTATAAAGTAGAAGAGAGTGGAGGGAGATAACCAGGGTGAGCTTTGCATGTTGGCCGTGCATGTGGAGTGGGGCTGGATGAGAAAAGAGATGGAGACAGGAGAAAGGAGGTGTAAAGGGGGAAAGGAGGTGGAAAGAGAAAGCAGATGGAGTTATATGCTCAGTCCGTAATGTTTCAGAAACATCCAGAAAACTGACCAAATTAGAAAGGAGACAGGTACGAGGGAGGTTGGGATAGACCAAGTGGTCTTCAGAGGGAAATGGAGGCAGCAAGCAAAGAGTTCCTGTGCTCTAGGCCAGGGTATTCCTGTTCCTGCCTTACCTTTCCTCTGACTTCTCTCTCCTCCACTCCACAGGTATGAAGACCTCTGGAACTTGTATACTGTTGTGTCTCTTAGCATTCTCCTTATCCCCAGCTGGTGAGTCCTTATGCCAGGGGGGAGGATTTCTTCTCCACTTTGGCCCTGTGCAGTTTCCTACGCAGGCTAATGTGCAATGATCCAGGAGAAAGACGGAGGCATGCAGATGGACAGTGAAGGGGGAAGGGCTGAACAAGAAAGGCAAGGTGGATATAGGTTGTGAGGAAAAATTTAGGAATTGGGGGCTGGTTCCCATATGTGTCCAGTCTTTAGTAAGTACTGGGAGTTGCAAGAGACAGACATCCGCACCCTGCCCTGCAGAGATGCTTGGGTAAGCGAAACAGCCAGGTCGAGTTGAGGAAGAAGGTTAGCTGTTCTTACTGTAAACTGGGCTGTACTTCACATGGCTGACCACCTGTGTTTGCATGATTTGCAGAGCATTTCCCAGTGCTCCACAAAACTTACTTTGTCATAGTTGTGAAACCTTCAGTCACTGGCAGATCCTGCTAGAATGGCCCCATTCCAGGTTCCTCGTCTGCCAGGTTTTGTAGTCCTTTGTGCAGCTGTTTTGAGAAACCTAACCTCCCTAGTTCAAACCACTCTTTGCTGTTTGTTGTTCTTCTGCTTTGTTGCTCTGTGTCTTTGCTTGCTTCGAGCTGCTTTGGCAAAAAAATTAGGTGGGGTCAAATTTGTTAAAAAACAAATCCGAAGCAAGTGGGTAGCACCAGACATTACAGCCTGAAAGAGCAAAATAAGTTAATTCCAGTGAATGGAGAAAGCTGTGCTCAGCAAAGACTATGTAGGAGACAGATGACTGCACCTATCACATTCAAATCAGGTTACTCCAATCTACTCTCCTCAGTCCTGCCCTCATGCTGAAGTCTGATTCTGCTCCAAGTAGCACTTTTTCCTGTAAACATGCACTGTAGAGGATGTCATGTTTGTGACTGTAAAGCAGGGAGGAGAGGCATCCAAGAGATGAGGTTGTAGGTGGCCTGCAAAATTAGAGGCAGAAAAAATAGGCTGTGTTTTTATGATGCATGAAGGAGGACTGAAAGGAATATTTATTTCTGTTGTGTATTTTGTTGTAGCATTTCTGAGTTTTATTTGTTTTAACTTGGAAAAATAACAGGAATCACCAGTTGGTCTCTCATGTTCTCTTACAGTTTTGAGTGAGCTACAGATTCAGTGAATTGGGGTTGCGGTTTTCTCAGACCTCAAGGAAGAGTTTACTGCAACTAGGACAATAAAGTCTGATCATATACGAAGCGTATGAATTAGGTACCATAGCAAATGCAAACTGTAGTGATTGAAAAGATCATAAGAAGGTTACCTCCTTTGTCTCCTCTCCTCATACACAGAGGTTTCACTTCACTTGTGTCCTGTTTTTTTAGAATTGGACCTGTCTTTTAGTTGTCTCCTAGGGAGAGATGGCAGGGGCAGAAAGCTAGTAAGAGCTGACTTTTCAATGTCAGAAAAAAAGCCAGGGGAGCCTCCCACCTTTTTCTGTGTGACTCCTGTTTCAAATCTGGCACCATGGGCTTCTGCAGTGGTTTCAGAATTTATGTCCTTCCATTTGTATCAGAAACAAATGCGAAAGTGTTCAATGTAATTTTTCTCCTTTACTTGTTACCATTAAGAGATCAGCCAAGACAGGGAAAGTTTTGGGCTGCACTATGTTGTGCACTTAAGTTATTATGCACGTCTGGATCTGGCTGGGTCAGTTGCCAGCAACTGAGCCCTTGTTGGCAGCTGGGTGGGGAAGGGAATAGCCGGGTCCACCAATTCCTGTAATGCTGCAGAGCAGGATTATGTAGGGATCCCAAGAGTCCCTCTGCAGCCTGCAAGTAACTGCTCTTGGAATGAGGAAAAACTAAGACTAAAGCTCTAGATCTGATTGTTTTTACGCATGCAGTGCTCCCATTAAGAACAGAGCGCTGAAGGATGAGTTCGTAAGATGTAGCAGAGTGTACTGTTTTTTGGGCTGGTCCTGCATACATCCTTGCAGTGCCCCAGATCACTGGATTTTTCCTGCCAACTCCTTCCTTCATCCTACCCCAGTTTTGCCGATGTTTCCCTCCTCTGTAGCTAGCAGGAAATAATTTTCCTATTCCTAGCTGCTGTAGGAAGGACCTCTCTCACTCCTTATATTTGGACAAATGAACAGTCTAGTTCAATTTCTCCTCTTTCACACAGCATGCACAGCCAAACCTTCATCATTCTCCTCCAGTGTGCCCAAGGGCTGAGAGGGTAAAGATGCTCTTCTCTGTACTCCATACCCAGGCAGGGTGATGGACCAGATAATCGTTTGCCAAAGGAGCTACAAGACCTGTAATCTGTTTCTTACTGTGCCAAGGACTCCGTCTATGAACCCAAGCAAATGATTTCCATGACTGTTTCCTCTTATAAAATGGAGATAGAGATTTTGACCAAACTCCAGAGCATCAAATGGGGTTAAGTCCAGTAGCAGATCTGGAGGTATTTACTCTCTTGTCCCTCTGCCTAGCCTTTGACCCTGGTGAAAGCAGCAGGGATAGGATCAGGACCCGTTGCATTCACAAGTTTTTAAAGAACAAACTGATCCAGCAGTGGAGGCTGAGGCAGAGAGGAGAGGGTTTCTCATTTCAGCGGAGGACCATGGTGTCTCCTGGACAAATAAACATCTCCAGAAAAAAATCACAAAGCCTGGAGACTATAGAAATCCCTCTCTGTCCTTTCTTCACTCCCTTCTCTTTTTCTCCTGCAGACTGGTTTCCCTGGGTGGTCAGTGGGCAAGAACTGGAAAGTGCAAATGGTAAGTATTACAGGCATGTTACGTACTAAAGACTGCATATGCGACCCAGTTGTCCTGCTGCTTACAGCCTCTTTAATTGCAGATGCTGTTCTTAGTTTCCTTGCTAACATTTCTAGCTTGCCTTTCAGTGAAGATTAAACAAGCCCTCCAAGGCAACCTGCTAAGTGTTGTGTATTCTTTACAAATAATTCAGTAGTGTTGGGGTCCTGAACACTTAGCTGAAGCACATGAAGTTATGTTCACAGTCAGGGGTTGTGGGAGATCCATGAGAGCTTCAGACTTGAGATGCTCAGGGAACTCTACAGCTACTCCAGAAAATGCCAAGAAAAAGGGTGCACAAGCGGCATGGTCCTTTAGCAGTGAGGCCACTGCGAAAGGATATCGACTGGTCTTCATACTGACTGTGGTAGTGGGGGTGAATTGCTTTATCACTCTGGACCTTTTTCCATTTCCGTGACATGATAGGATAAAATGAACGTATATTTGCGTTGTGCTTCAGCACCCAGAGAACCACAGGGGCCTGCCTTTGCTTCACACTGAAGCCCCTGGCTAAGCCATCAGACATCTCCCAGCCATGATCCTGTCGCGTGCAATACCTCAGCTTTGCCGTCAGCTGCCTTTCAAAGAAACTCTGCTGTTGAATTTCTGTAGTCAAGGCTAGGTTCTGGAGTCGCCTCCCTCCTTCCCTGCAGCGGGTACCTCAGCTGTCTGTCCTACTGCTGTGCAAGCCCTCAACACCGTTTCAGTCGTCTTTCCTTCCCATCAAGATGCCCACAGTTGCCATATCTGACAAGTCAGAATATGAAGTCAGAGTTCAGAAAGGGTTGATGCAACGTGTACACTAAGAAATCTAGTCCTAGGCCAGTCACTGAAAAGGGGGATGGATATGTGTGGGATGTGGGTACTGTGGTTATTTATGTATTTACTGGATTGGATCCTACTGTCTCATGAGTCTCCCATGGAGGCCAGGGTAATTCAAGCTAACTATGGCTAGCTATGTAAGGGACCACAACGCAGAGAGAAGCTCTCTCAAGGATATTCTCTCTTTTCCAGGTGAAGTTAGCACCAACTCCCTTATCAGCACCTCTGGTAAGCTCCTATCTTTTGTCAACTTCAGGCTTATTTTCCACTTTTCTTCCTGCCTACATACCCCCAAGTATTACCCATTATGTTCAGAAACTCCTATTCCCTGGTTTTGACATCTAGCAGCGCTTGTGCTCTTCCAGCATTTATGGCTGTCTGAGAGTCCTTTTTGTGCTCCGTGCCGGGGGATGAATTTGGGGGGCTTAATGGCGTGTTCTCCAAGGAAATGCCAATCTCACCTGGTTGACTAGAGTCTCTGAAGCTGTTTGCACTGCAGGAAGCCATGAAATCCAAAGCTCACACAGCCTGGACTTCCAGAGAAGGTTGCAAGAAGGAAGAGACTAAATGACAAGAGAGAGAAATTGGTCATATTCACCTGTTAACTGGGTGGCACTGGGACACGGTTTGTGTCTGCTGACAGTTAGCAGCTGTGCTTGAGTGATCAGGAGAAAGAAGGGGGCAAAAAAAGGCAAGACAGTAATAAAGCAAACTGAGCAGTGGTGGGATGGGGAGGTGGAAATAACTGTTCTCATAGTACTGTCTTCCCTGCTGTGCCTGCGGCTGTGTCACTGGGGGGCAGCAAAATGTATGTGAAAGATAAGGTAGATGGAGGGTGCTTGAATAAGAGCACTTGGAGCATGCAATGTGCCTCCTTAGAGAGCCAAGTCTTGCTGTGGAGATAGCCCCAGGGGAAGGACACAGCGCTGGTGGGAGGGTATGCATTTACAAGATAGGCTAAGCCTGCCAGACTTGAATGGAGGAGAGGGCCAGAGGCTGAAGAGTGAGCTTCCACACTTTTTCCATGTGTCCTGTTTCGAATCTGGCACCACTGGCCTTGGTGATGGCTTCTCTCTCTGCTGGGGCAGTCATTCAAGCACATCCCTCTGAGGTGTGGGGGGACCAGGCAGAGAAAGGGAGAACACATCTTTCTGATGACATGGTTCAAAAGACAGAGGAGAGGCAGCAGCACTTGGCAGTTGCTGGGAGGTGTGCTGTGTGCGTAGGAGAGCTCATCTGAGAGTGGGGTCCCATTCTCCAGGACAGCAGTTCCCTGGTCTCTTCTCTGCCCTGTGACTCTGCTTACCATCTGGCTCGAATATTGTGGGTGAAGCAGACCAGCTGCCAGGGGACAACACTGGAGGAGAAAAGTGGAAGCACAATGTCGTATACACAAAGTACCTGATCTTCCCGGTGGCGATGGGAGGCGAAAGCAACTCATGTCAGTCTCGTGTTCAGTGTGTGAGACCTGACAGACTGTAGAAGGGTAGGCAAGACTTGGTGTTCAGGCCAAACTGGGAGCTGCTAACCAACATCTATATCTGAAAAGACTAAATGTGAAGCCTTTACAGCAATTGTTGGCTTCAAAATGCTTGTTGTTGAGGGATCAAGAAGAAACTCTTCACAAAGGATATGCCATGAGACCCATCTTTCTCTACAGCATCCCATGAGCTCTAACATCCAGCATATTCGCAGGGAAAGCCTGCAGTCAATCAGACAAGTCAGATAACATCACCATCAACATGGTCTATGAACCAGATGTGGGATGGCTACTGGTCAGGAGTGGTGACCCATCAGCAGAACTTTGGGAGGGGGAGGAAGATTGAAAGCTCAAGTTAAGATCTTTCACAACATCTTCTCTTTTTCCAGAGGCAGCTGTCACATCACCTGTCCTTCTTAGTCCTGGTGAGTTTATTCTATGTTCACAGCCAAATGTTGTGGACTCCTCTTCCCTCTCCTTGCCCAGTCTCATGCACACCCCGAGTCCTGCCACCCCTGACTGCTCATAACTGCAGCCCCGATGCCCAAAAGTCTCCTTCTCTCTCTACACTTATGTGTTTTGTCTGAGCTTCTGGTTGACACTATGGCACGTGAACAGGAGACGTTTAAGTCCTCTGTAATTGTTGGTGAAAACTTGCATCTGGCAGTCTGTCCTCTGAGTTCCTTTCCAGTTTGTCACTGGGTAAATAATATGAAATGTACTGGTTTACTGTGGTATGGGTGAGTTGCTTTATCCCTTGTTTAGAGGGAACCACAAACCGACCTTCTTTTGGTTCCTTGTCATGGACGTTAAAGAACAAGCAGTCTGGGGGTGCTGTTTCTTAAAGGAGTCACTGTTCCTTAGGAAGAGGCAGTCACAGGCTCCTCTGCTTCTTGTCTAGATGGATGGCAATTGCAGCAACTAAAACATTTACCTGACCTTTTGAACTGTAAGTCGAGATGCCCATACAGTGTAATATTGAACAGTAGGGGGTAATGATTTATGGTAAAGCTTGGACAGACTTTTAGCATTGTTGGCTGGATAGCTGGCACTATATACCTGTCGGATTTGTACCTTCTCTTAAGGTTTCATGTCAGTAACAGTGAAATTTTTTTCCACATCAGAAGTTACAATGGGCAGCTCTTGAAAGAGCTTTCCAGTTACTTGTTTTGTCTAGGAAGGAATCATGATAGATCACACTAACATTGCTACCCTCTGTCTTCCAGTTCAGTCTGACAGTGAAACTACGACCGCTTCATCAGGTACATTTAAGTTTGCTACCTACACCCCCTCCCAGACCCACTTTCATCCACCCTGTTATCTCTCCAGGCAGGTGCTGGCCAAGCACTCAGCTTTGTCTCTTGGAAAATTCGTTTCACCCTGTTCCTTGAGTTAGAAGTACTGGAGAATGACAGTAGTGGAAGCTGAAGTCTTCTGCTGGGTGGCATGCCCAGGAGAGGAGGAACTGGCAGATCACCAGACCAGACACTCTGGGTCAATATTCTGTCATTTTCAGTGGCCAAGACTTGGCATTTCAGAAAGAAATGGAAGAAAATCCATCATAGTTCGCGATGGGGTTGATTGTCCAGAAAAGAAAGGAATCAGATTTGTGTCCTGAAGTGTGAGATTGAAGATTTATTAGAAACGTGTCTGAAACATGAAACTACAATTTGCATTTGGTTTATTTGTGTCTGTCTCCTCTACAGTATATGCCTTCCGTATTGAGGATTCCTAGTGGGTTTGTTTTGCACTTCACTCAACTTCCCCTTTGTATTACGAGGCAAGGCGATCAGAAATGTCTGCCTTATTTTCCTCTTCTCTAAACATATCCCTGTCTCTCACAAGAGAGTGGAAAATAGAGGCTAGGGGCCCTCCTTAGAAGCCTGGAGGACAGTACCTAGTGATTAAGTTTTATGTGTGCCAGAATGAATGCACCTGCCAGTGATGCTGGATTGCACCTCTCTGTGTGTGTTCCCAGATTGTCGTGAAGAAAAGTTCCCCTGCACACGCCTGTACTCTGTTCACAAACCCGTAAAGCAGTGTATCAGCTACCTCTGTGTTACAAGGTAAGAAACCAGCAGTCCCTAAGAAAAGCCTTAAAAACTCTCCAGAAATGGCATGGCCAGTTCAGCAATTGTTTCCTTTGAAGACTAGAGGTTCCCTCAGGGAACCAGTTGGTGAGATGAATTCCATCCTCAGATTGCCATTTAGGGTGAATAATTAAAACAGCACAATAAATATTATCTCTGCACCACTAAAGAGCTGTAATATTCCCTATATTGTAATTAGTATTTAAGGGTTTTGGCCATTTCATGAAGTCTTGTCAAAGATTACTTTCCTGTGACACCAGCCTTATTGTAAACTAACTAATCATAAAAATTTAGGATTTGCCTCATTATTAGTGAATATACGTTTATTGCCTGTATCCCTTTTTTGTTTCTTTGGGTCCCTGTGCCTTTTGCTGCTGTCCTTGGTGTGTTCGTGGTGGTCCCTCAGTGTGCGTCGCATGTACATAATAAACAAGGAGGTGTGCTCTCGCATTGTCTGCAAGGAGAATGAGGTCATGCAAGGTGAGTGAGAGCACAAGTTAGCCTAGAAGAATAGTTGCAGCCATCCAATAGAGTCTTCAAGCTAACTACCCTACCCCAATCCATATGTAATAGTTTCCCTGGACTTGGTTTTGGGGAGCGCTGATACAATGCAGCCTGGCATCCAGTACGTGTGCCATGAAAAACACTGGGAAGTAGATACTGTACTACCAAGAAGTATGAGAGCTCTGCCTTCCTCTCACTTGCCCATACTCTACTAGCCCCAGAGACGCCCTTACTCAAAGTTGCATTCCTTTGTGGGTAAAGGTTAACTCAGTATTCATGAATAAAACCATGAGCCAGTCGAGATTTCTTACGCAGTCTTTGTTGCAGCAAAATATGAGTGATTTTAATATGTACTGTACATGAATAACGCCAGAAGGAAATTAATAAAGGCCTAAGGACATGTTCACTTGCCTCATGTATGTGAGGATTTAGCGGTTCCAACAGTTCCTGTAGACGCAGTGAAGGATGTACCTGTAACTATTCTGGTGGTGAAGAATTTGACAGAAGCTTGATTATCTGTCAACATGTGTGTGTCTGCTGTGTCTTTAGATGAAATCTGTCGCCAGCTGGCTGGCCTTCCTTCTCGACGTCTCCGCCGATCTGGGCAACCCCCACATCTCCCTTGCAGACAACTCCTGGAGCAGCAGCGCAGCAGGCCTGGTGCTCTGTGAGCTACCAACAGTAGGAGAGAAAAAGGAAGGGAGAGATGAGAAATCATCATTCACTACCTACAACCCAAGATAAATCCTTCTCGCTTGTGATTTCCCCATCATCTCCTCGCTTCTCTGCCTTCCCCCACATACTCTTCTTCAGGTGCTGCAGTACACAGAGTCACCTCTCTGCTAGTCTGTCATGGTGGCTGTTGTCATCTTCTGAATCTGTTGCTGAGGATGTGGGATGCTCCTCTTGTTTCTCCAAACTCTGTTTGTCAAGCCATGGACTGCTCATTTCCCAGAGGTTCTTATAAATGTGCTGCATCTTCCCTGCTTTGCCCCTGCAGAGACATATGCATGGGCACAGGGTGGAGTCCTCTCCAAGCTGCCCTAAGCTGCATCTCCTGGAGAAGTGCAAATCTTCATGCCCTAGGACTCCTGGCCTAGGTTTCTTGCATGGATCAGTGTGAGTTTGGATATGGTTCATCAACATGAGCACCCCTGGTTCTCCTGAGTCACTAAGTTTGCTGTGTGATAGCACAGCCACCTCCTGTGTCTGATGGCCTCAGAAAAGTGACAGAACTGGGAGATGAGCTGTTCTCAACCCAAGGCAAACCTCATTGTCCCTGTATGGCAGCAGATCATTTATAACTACCTCTGGGAAGTTCCTTGTCTCAAGCCCGTTGCCTCCTTCACACACAACTGCTACCAAAAGGAAGAATTCTGGATTTAGTATGGCATTATATTTTTTTTCAAGAAGATTATGATGGAGTAGAGTGCTGCCTCTTCCTCTCCCGTCTCTCCTCTCCCCTGTTCTGTCCTTCTCTTCCCACTGAAGAAATCTCTTGATGATCATCCCAGAGAAGTTCCAGAGAGCAGTAAGTATTGCTGCTTCTGCTCCAAAGCCCAATAGACCCCACAAAAAACCTGTGTGTCCTCACAGTACTGGGAACTTGCAATGAATTAGCTTGTCCTGGTAACTTGTCTTGGTCTGGCTACCTCCACAGTCTCCAGTTGCTGAGCCTGCTTTCAGTATCTCCACTTGAGTTCCTGCTTCCTGACTTGGGAGCTCCTGCACAAAGCAGAAAGGAGTCACAAATTGGAATGGGATATGGGAGAAGAAACATTATCTGGGATCCTTGGGTTTTCCTGCAGATGCTCTGGCTGTGCTGACCTGCACAGAGCCAGTTGCTGGTGGGGAGGCAAATGTATCTGCACGTATAAGCATAGAGGTAGGCCAGCCTGGGGAAAAGAGTTCACTCTGGTAGCACTGGAAGTCTGTGGTCTGCTCTAGAACTTTGGTTTCCAGATATATGGGCAGTTTTCACTATGAGACTGGGTAGGGTAAACGGGGAAGAGCCGTTTGAGGTATATTAATCACTTCTTAGTGGCATGATTCTGTGGGTCACCTGAGCTGAGCAGCAGAGCTCACTGCGGCAGCAGATCAGCAAGACCCTGTCTCTAGGATCTCTGATCATTGTTCCAAGCTAACAGAAAGGCAGTTTGCTAGAGTAGGCATTCACACCCTTCACATAATATACACTGCTGCTGAACTGAGTACCATTCAGCCTTGCAGGAGCACCGCTCTGCTGCACAGGGGCAGACAGCTCCCCAAGGAAAAGAGCAAAACAATTAATGTTAGAGCGTCTCCCAGGACTCGGATGTCTGCACCATGCAGCAAGAAGCTGGTTGCGTCCTCTGTGTAGGGGTAGACACACCTGTGCAGGCACGAAGTTGTTCCATATAAGGTCAAAATTGGCCATAGATGGGCTGAATCTTGATGCATTAGTCCAATATACAGGAGGGAGGATTCCAAGCTAGGTGGTGGCTGGAATTTCATCCCATACATAGCAGCATGGCACCCACACACAGAGGACTCCTTGAGTACTCCAGGCTCATGAGATTAGAGATGGTGGAGGAATTACTCTGTACTGAGAGTACGCACATTTCTGAGAATGGAGGGCACTGAGCTAGATCTCAAAGACATTCAAGCCACTGGCAGCCACTGACTTCTGTGGTGGGATGCCTGTGGAGTTTTCCTGTGTGGAGGAAGGTAGGATGGAGATGAGAAGTTAGAGGAAACTATTGGAAATTGGACTGGGCCAAGTGTCCACTCTGTATTTAGAGTTGAATGTAACCTGATATAGATATATAACTGTATAACATAGCTACTGTACAGTATATAGGAATTTAACATTAATACAGTTTGGGGAATTGTTAGAAACCTTTCTGTTTCTTGCTTTCAGCAGGGATGGGAAGAGGTGCTCCTCGCCATGAGAACACTGTTTTATTGCTTGAGTCTGTATAATGCATATATTAAAAGAAAATTTATTTCCTGTTATTATTCTTGGCAACTCTCGTGTTTGGATTTATTTGTCTCTGGCTGTATTTCCTCCAGATTGTTGGGCAGACTTGACTCTGGCCCAAATCTGTCATTTGGACCTCTTTACTCTCTGCTAGCACAGTCCTCAACTGCCACCTTCACTTCACTCACGAATCACAGGTCTTCCTGGGAGTCCATTGTATTTTCTAGAGATACAGAAAATTATCTTCATGAATTTTTTCCATGGATAGTTGTACTAGATTTTCCTGACAGTTGTTAGCTGCTGAGCACAGGGATAACTCCTGCCACCCTGTGAGATCTGTGCTGAGAACACATCTTGTCACCGCACAGGTACCACGACTTGCTGGTGGAGAATTACCATCTCCAAGTAAAATGGTGAGATGGCTGAACTAAGAGAAGAGCTGTGATAAATCATCTCATAATCAAAGAATTTGTTCACTAGAGCCATTTAACTCTGTAATAAGTGAAAGACTATATTAAAAATAACACATCTGGGTCAAAAGGATTAGGAAGATTTCATTGAATTTGTGACTTTTGCATAGATATGCCAGGCATGAACTGTACGTCGTCTTTGGTTGAAAAAATGCAGCACGGGGGATTCTAGGCAGTGTCTTCATCTGCAAGCAGTCAAGTCTGCATTTAGATGGTATTTCTAGAACAAAAGTGGCTCTGGCCCAAATTACACATTGAATTGCCTCTAACAGTGCCCCATGGTTCTTCGTGACTGAACTGCACAGTTCAGGTTGTTGCACAACACTGTCCCCTAGGATCAGTGCTTCTTCCTGGCTAGCGTGGCGGAGTCCCTATCTCGGACTGTTAAAATGAAAACAACCTCAGGTTTTTTCAACCTAGGTGTTGCTCCCATCTATGCAAGCCTGACCCTGCTGTGGCTCATGAGCTTGTGGCCTTTGCAGTGTCCTTCCACCAGCTGTGTGAGCAGATGACACCGCATGCCATCGTCCTTTTGTAGTTCAGTGTACCATTCCTTCTCCTTACAGTACTGGAGACCGCAAACAGGCTTCTCCATCTTCAGTCGCACTTATCCCGTACACAGATGTGTCTGCCCTGCCATTCCAACCTGAGCGGTCGTGGTGCTGCGTTGCTGGTCTCTGGACGTCGCCTCTTCTCAGCATCTGCTTATGTTGCCTTCTTTTGTAAGCCTGGAAAATGATTTTAAATATAGCTCCAGCTAGGTCTGGTTTCTCGTGAAGTTGGACTAGCCACAAAGCAAGCTGTCAGAGTCCTATTTTAGAAGCATGATCTAGAGTTTGTGGCTGATTTTCATCAACTCTTCTAACCTGGAGCAGGAGTTCGATGGCCTGCAGCCACCTCCCACGGAATGGTCATTTTGCTGTCACAGCTCCTGGGGTCCTGATCAGCGTTGCCACTTTGAAGGCTGCTGTTCCAAGGCCAGTGCTCTGGTGCCTGGTCCCCAGTTTGAAGAGGTACCTTGCTTTCCGAGGCGTAGGGAGCTGGAGCTCCCTGCAAGGGCAGCTGGCCACACTGACCACTTTCTGCTGTACCTGGAAGGCAAGGTGGTTCCACCTTCCCGTCTCTCCTTCTCCTCTTTGTTCTCTTCCTCTATTTTCCTCATCTCTTTCTTCTCTGCTCATATGTTAACCTCAGAGCCAGAAACAGTGAGGACATTGGGGCTGAAGCGGGACAGCAGGAAGGGTGCTGGATGAGGGGACACACAGCATTGCCAAGCAGGGCCAGGGGCAGTGCTTGGCCCAGGTCAGCTCTCCTTTTCCCTTGCCCTCCAGTTCTGGGGCACTGTGGCACCCCCAGCTGCCAAGCTCAGGATTTTCTGAAGGGAATTACACACCAGTCAGAGCAGGGAGGGGAGAATGACAGGTCAACTTCTGCACCGTGGCAACAGCAACCGCATGCCTGGAGATGGCCGTCCCTGATTGCAGAAACAAGATGAGGAGGAAGGGGAGTGCTGTGGGAAAGCATGGGGAGGCTGTTGGAAGCAGCTGACTTGTCACCTGGAAGCCCCATGTTGC